CTATCAAGGAAATCATTATAGGAAATACAAGCCCTGGAATATTGTATCAACTTGGAGTAATATACACTACCTGAATGTTGCTACATAAAAATGGAAAGTTCACAATCGGGAAGCATAAATCATCTTTTAGTCGCAATGTTTTGTTTTCAAACGACCCTCAGTGTCATTTTCTAGATGTAAAACAAGATATGAGGCAGACTTAAATGTATCATGGTGTATCCATTATCTCAAGTACGATAGAATAGATGCGTTCAACAAAGTCACCAAAGTTTGAAATATTTAGTTAGAGAACATCATCTATATAGCGGAAAGTAAAGTGAAAAAATATTGCTAACTTTTTTTTCTTCCTTTGAAGTTACCTATATGAAGTCAACCTCATATGACTACAGGAACAAATCGGCAATAAGAGGAGCACAGTTGGTTCCCAAGGGAGTACCGATTGTTTATTTTGAAAAACACGTCCTTCCAAAACGTAACAAATATGTTGTCAATCAAGAAATCAAGCATCTTAATAATTTTTGGTTTGAATCAGATCTTTGGATTTTGTTAATATCAACATCTAATTCACTCCACCTCTAGAAAATGTAGTTTCACAATAACTTTGAAGCCCGGCTTTGATTGTTGATAAAATTGATGTTAATAGTTTAGAAAGAAGTATCGTGGAACACTTGGAAAACCAGCAATATAACGTTGTTATGCAGTTTAGGTATCGAATGCAGTGATGAAAGATCCATATCTTCATCTTTGGTTGAAATTCCAAAAGGAACATCGAACAGACCTATGATTATCCAGGACTTCCTCCTTGGTAAGTGTCGTGGATATAAGTTGAGTTTCCAGGTTAATTGTCAATACCCAATTAATTTATCAAGCAGTTAATGTAATTTTCTTTACACACAAACACAATGTTGTTTGGGTCTTTATCTGCGAGCACAACACCATATTTATCATTGAGGTAGGACAGGTGTTTTGCAACATTTTTGTATATAAAGATTGATGTAGCATGGGTATTCATAGACCCATTCATTTTTTTAAATTCTGATTTATATCAACGACCTCACATCCTTATTCCCTTCGGAAAGAGTATCTACGTGTTTTTTTCTCTTTCTGTAAACTTTCGCGTGGGGGTTAAATTCACGCATCAAGTGCATACTTCACATCAATATTTATATACTCGTAATTGCTTTATACAAACAATTCGCGCGTTTTACACGAGAACGAAATAGGCGAACATATCTCTGCGCCAAGAAATTTCACGTTTACAGTATTTGGAAAACCGAAAAACAATTCAATAAATTCTACATCATACGAACAAAGAAAGAAATATGCGACTCCCCTTTCAAAAAATTAAAGAAATAGAAAAAAAAAATAGAAAAACGTTATCGATAATCGATGCTCCACACCATAACAATATTTTCTTTTTAACACCATTTTTAATTTCAATTAATGTTGTTGGTGGCAAAAAAACGTTTTTGTCTTCTTTAATTAAATGCGTATACCTGCTGAAAAGTAAAACGTAAAAATGCATACATTTTTGAACAAAGGTCTATAGTTCTAATTCTATCACAAATTTTAAAGCCTAAAGACATTATTATCCTTACAAAATCATGTAAATTTTGCATGGAAATAATTTGTAGGTATATGCAAAGTCTTTCCTGTAAGAAAATCGAACTGAATTTTGACCGATATTTTAAGGGTCAAATATTATTTATAAACTAAAACTTAAAAAAAAATGTTCTGTATATTATTATATTGGATTAAATTCTATCATTTATGGAAATACCCAACGATGAACAAACACCAAAACGAATTTAGGAGACAAAGATCTACAGCATTGGTTATGATGACATTTGTTCGGTGAGGTATTAAATACAGGAATACAGGGATAAAGCGTCCTCACTTTCAATAAGTGATATTTCCTCCTAAAATTTTTAGGGGATATATAGTGCTTCCACGAGAACTAATATCAGTAGAATGCGTGGATCATTTTACATATTGTATATTAATATGATAAGAAAGACAACTCTTAATTGACATCAAAAGTAATACAATTTCAAGTGCATGGCCATTGAATGCAGATCGGTCTTTTGGCTGCACGGATAATCGTTTCGTGGCTTTTCTCATAGATGAAATATTTTTTTCTGTAATATCATTTATTTGTTTGATATGTATAACTAGACTGATACCGTATGTCTACCAAATGATAATCATTGATCTTTTTTTTTTATATCGGAATAACCCAGACTAACATTGAAAAACTTCAAATAGGTTTATAACAAAATGGAATATGAATGTAGGCAATCTTAAACGGGGAAAAACTTTATGATTGATTTAGATCAAATTTTATAGATGGTAATGCAAGTAAATATTCAACATCATTCATGTAAGTTGCTATGCAAAATTTCAGCCACAAATAGGTATTCAATTTCCTTAGAAAATATATTAGAAATCAAATAAAAAGTTGTGTTTCAAATGAAACAATAGGCAGCAAAAAAATATCTCCCGGATATAATCTTCAAGTGCCGAAAGTGAGATGATCATTTTTCTGATCTTGACAACAACATTATAACAAGTCTGTGGTTCTAGTGTTCAATTATTTCATGTGATTTTATTCAGTGCTTCTTAAAAAAAAGGAGGGATGAAATTAATAACGTCTTGTTTTCATTTTTACATCAGACTTCAGTAAAGACATTAATGCTCCTTTGACAGGAAGGGGCCTCGATGGCCGAGTGGTCTAAGTAGTTACTACTGTAATCACTAGCCAGTCAACACTGAGGTTGTGAGTTCGAACCCCGCTCGTGCGGGTGCACTCGACTCCAATCTTAATTGACTAGGATTGTCAGTTTACCTATCGAAGGTCTGTGGTTTTCTCCGTGCACTCCGGCTTCCTCCACCAATAAAAACTGGCCGCCTAGAAATAGCCCAAAAGCGGTGCTTAAAAGTGGCGTTAAAACACCAAAAATCAAAAATTAAATCCTTTGACAGGAGACTGTTAACAGTTACAATGTGATATGCCCATGTTTTTACAAAGGACCACGTTAAGAACCGGTAGGTAATAAACGTTAAAAAAAAGGTCCAAAATATCGTCTTTAGCGAAAATATATAGGGAAGAGTTTCATCAGGTTTATTCATAAATGGAGATTATCCACATTATTGCTACTTTATTGCTATCGTTAATATCTCTGCAAACTGTGGATAAATATAAAGGTCGAGCTTAATATTTATGACTTTTGAATAGCGGTATATTACTGTTGCCTTTATTTACTAGTTTCTCAAATTTTTAGCAAAACCCAGAATGGCGAAAATAACGTATATTGGAAAACTTGTTGCGTTGTTAATTTTTTGCTGAGTAAATTTTACGTTTTATTTGATTTAAAAATTTCCAAACCCGGAATATGGCACATCAATTTTATGTTATAGTCTTGAATGATGTTTTCGACCTAAATCCCCCTCGGTGGGAGCAACAAAAAAAAATGTATCACCGTTCGTGCTATAAATTATACACCAGAAGACACAACTGCAGTAATTTCAAAGATGAATTGGCAATTGGTTTGTCAGAGCAAACCACTGAAGCCAATGACCTACATGTGTCAACCATACATGTTCAATCTATCTACCATGTTTCAAATTGGAATGTTTGTGTTATTTCTATGATAAAAAAAGATCGGTAGTTTTAAATTATAGGATCAGCAATAAAAGGCCCTGACAAGACAAATTGTGAAACAATCCAAACAAAAAATCTTACGGTTTCATTTATGACAACAACAAAAAAATCAACAGACAGCGACCAACGACAACCACTGAATTGTAGGCTCCTAATTATGAACAGACACATACAGAATTTGGCGGATATTTGTGACAGTAAAACCAAGTTTTAAGGTAGGCCAAGCTTTAAATACAATACGGTTATCTCTATTCTATTGCAAAATACACAAATCAGTCCATTTCAGTCATTATTGCGGTGTAAAATTTCATAAAACAAAAATTCCGCAAAATGGTGTTGTCGTTTTTGGCAACTTAACAAGGTGACGTCCTCTGTATGCTTCCAGCTTCAAATGTAAACATCGGACGTTTTCAGGCTTCTTTTATGCCCTAGAAAGTAATAATAATAGATAAAAAGAATATTTAAGGTGAAAAAGTTTTTTTTATTTATTATCGAAGACTTAACATGTCATTATATTTCAGAATTAAAAATGTCGGCTTCCCGTAGCTACAGGCAGGTAGATGGACGATTTTACGCTTGTTGTCATCCACTTGGAACTAATGATACAAAATGAATGCATTATAATTTTCCTGTTCAGAACTAATTGCTCTTTTTAGAACAAGAGAAAGATAAAATATTTATTTATTACTTTATGTTAATAAGATGTAAGCTTCTTCAATCTGAGGGGCGTCATATTTATCCTTACTCGGAACTTAAAATAAAAACCCTTTACTATTTAATGCTTCACAAAAACAAACAAATAATATCTGCGAGGAGTTACAAATAAAATATTGATAATAAAAAGAAAACTGTTCAACGATTCATATTTGTGTATCACATCTCTGTATTTTCGCCTATTGGCAGAGCACTTGGAAATGAACATTTTCACATAACCCTTCCTGATGGTATCTTGTTTTCATATAATATGATGCACTGCTAATTTAGTATTTCATTATCTTAAATACTGAAATTAATGGAAATGCTGAAGTCAATGTTATTGACTGTTTTCCCCATGGAACCACTTTTACACTATTGCTGTTAACATTTTACTTCACTAGTCCATCTTTCTAGTGAAAGGTTACTGTTTGTTATATCCATGATTCCAGGGTTACTCTGTGGTAACTTTAAGCAGCATTATATTCGACATTAGTGAGAGACATCAAAACTACATTATGTTATGTCATTATCAACCATACAATATACACATTCCGGAATCAATTTTTAGCAATGCTTTTGAAAAGATACTAATAAATTCATAACGGAATTTATTAGTATCTTTTTAAAATTGCATCCCCTTCCCTCTAGGTCAGATTGATTTAAAGTTTGGTCATGAGCTATTCACAGGTATGACTTAATTAGAAATGCAATTGCTATTAAATAGTCCGTTTCTATGTATGTTGGCTATTGTTGCAGTTCAGTGTTTCTGTTGTCCCGTTGTTTTCCTCATATAATTGATGTGTTTCCCTCGGTTTAAGTTTGTAACCCGGATTTGGTTTCTATTAATCGATTGATGACTTTTGAACAGCAGTATACTACTGTTGCCTATATTTAGATTCTTTGATAATTTTATTTTGTAATCTACTCTTTTTTTTTTAACTATAAAGACTAAGGATAAAGAGTACCGTTATCAATCTTCACGCTTGTCGGTGATAGATGAAATTATGTCTCTCAATGAGTTCCGGATGTATAATTGAAAAATATTTTTTTTAATTTTTTTTTTTTTTTTTTTAGCTTGACCATACATTTTTAAACATAAAAAAATATTATGATAATTTGGGAACTTTATCAAGTAGACATTTATACTTTGTAGGTTTAATAGTTGCCTGTATTTTGTAACTGTAAATGAATTTTGCTTTAAACCAAAACAACAACAACTGCATCACTGGTTCCTGACATTGAACAGGCATATACTGAATGTGGGTGGGTTAAACATGTTTTAAAGGCTCCAGCCTCCACTTAACAATACAATGCTCTAATACAAAAAAAAGCAAAATAAGGTACGAAGTTGAAGAACATTGAGAACTCCAATATTCCGAAAGGTTTTGCAAATAGAGCATCAATCTATCTTGGGGTAGAAAATCCTTACTATTTAAAAAAAATTTCAACCACTTTTACACTATTGTTGCTAACATTTTACTTCACTAGTCCATCTTTCTAGTGAAAAGTTCCTGTTTGTTATATCCATAATTAAAAGTTGCCTGTATTTTGTAACTGTACATGAATTTTGCTTTAAACCAAAACAACAACAATGCATCACTGGTTCCTGACATTGAACAGGCACATATTGAATGTGGGTGGGTTAAACATGTTTTAAAGGCTCACGCCTCAACTTAACCTGTGACAGTAGTGCAACAGCACAACATAAATAAAATGTAAAAATTTAATTGACAAAAGCTGGACTCAAACCAAATAGACACAAAGCACACAAAACAACTGTCAAAAAAGACTAAAAAGTTACCGAGAGCTTATTGAAAGCCAATAACAACTAATTAATAAACCATGTTTCCAAGGACACACCCAATGGATTTAGTGTAAAGACGTTATAAACAGTCTGAGAAAAACATTATCTTTTGCAATGCTAAAATATATTTACCTGCTTATATGCTTAATCGGTGTCAAGACGGACGAAATCGTGATTGCTTCTATATAATCCTATATTTATGTACCCGCTAACAGTAATACACATGATTAAGCTTGAACGTTAGCGACCTATTTTCTTACACGCGAGGATAAGTGTGCTTTGGCGTATAAAAAGGCGATTCCTCTATTTATTGTGTTGATTTAATGATAATATAATTTCTATTTCCTGAAGATAATTAGGTTATTGTTTTTCAAAAAATACTGGCAAAGATATTTTCATAGATTGAAATAAAGGTTGAGAACAATAGTTGAAATAAAGATTGAGAAACATTTGTACAATAGGGTTCAGTTATAAAATGTGTTTCACATTGACAGCCATCCTATATATAAGACCTATATACCACACACTAAAAATAAGCAGTGTCGTTAATATTCAATATTTGGTTTTAATGTTCAACGCTGTCCTAGAGGGAATACTATTTGTATGGATTATCAAATGATTCTGTTAAAATTTGTCCCACAATATTACTTTCCAAGGTCTGGTTGAAGTTATATAAGAGAACATTTAACCAGCACGAAAATGATATTAATAAAATGGTAAAACATTTAATTTGTTTATAATTCTGAATTTCCAGAAATAAATTATGACTAATAGTGTCGACTATGAACTAAGATTCTTCACTATTCAAAATGAAAAAGGCATTGCAACATTATTTTTGTGTCAGGGCTTTTGTTATTTGGATAAACATATAAGTGAAACCTTTAGAATACAGTTTTGTTGTGGTATACAAATGAACAGTGCTATATTTCACTTTTACACAAACTAAGAAATTAACAAATGAGTTTTTTTTTTTTTACATAAATAAACACATGTATACATGAATGACCATTTGTTCTCACGACTAATCCGTAGGCAGTACAGATAAATAAGTGTTAGAAAACCATTTACAAATGTATCAGCATCTTGCAAGTAGCATTGCTTAGTAAATTTGAATGTGCTAATTTTTCATTTTGCTATCTGGATGAAAAATGTAAAGTTAATTGCTTTAATATCTCTTTAACTATTAATGTTGCATCAATGCATCTTCAATTACTCCTTGTGCTGACAGTTTCAATAATCTTACCTTACAGTTGATATGTACACATAGATGTGAGTTGTCTGTTAACAACTCTTAATTTCACAAAGAATGCATTTGCATAACAATGCATTTAGCTCCAATGCAAAGCACTTTCATAATAAACTAAGCATGCATAGACAGAGAGTGCAATCCAGTGATAAACTTTACTATATCGCCCCTTCATGACCTAAAGCTCTTCATATCCAATTCTAACAATCATACCAAACTACATGGATTGGAAGTCTTGAAACAGAAGGGGGGGGGGGGGAGGGGCATCCGGCGTTTGCCCGAAAACCAAAATAAAGTCTAAAGATTTGCGCAACGGTAATACTATAAGATAGTAATATACGAAGATGATGTTATAAAATCGTGTTGACAAATATTTCGGCTGAACAAATTGCCTTCGTATGTGTCAATGTTTTTCGAACAAATAAATATTTGCACTGGTAACGATTTCCGCCGTTGAGTAATCATTTATGTATGGACTGGAATTTTAAAAGCAAGTTTTGTGAAATTTATTTCTAAAAGTTTTCTGCATTTTTACCTTTTCTGATTACTTTTTGAGTTTTGAATGTCCTTGAAATGGCATCATATGTTTTCAGATGAATTAAACAATGGATCAATAAAACATATGCTGAAAGTAATTTATTATAACATTAACTTAGAAATGAGTGTTTCAAATCATGCTTTTGGTGATTGCACAAATCATGAAAAAAAATTAATACTTTTAGTAATTTAAATAACTTTTAGTTTTTGGTAGATGTTGCATGTATGTGCTGACATTATAACATTGTCTATAATTATATATATTTGCAATTATATACCCAAAGAATGTGTTCCTGATACCAATGTTATGTAAAAACCATTCAAATGTGACGTCACTTTGTGTGTTTTTTTAGAATTTCAAATGTGACGTCACTTTGTGCGTTGATGCTTTGGCTAACTCGGCTGTGTATTTTTATATGTTGGATTAAGTTGTTTTATGTAATGTACCCGTTTTTATTCTGTAGTTAGTCCCAACTTCGGTTTTATCATGTATATCTATTATATAGTCATTTTATAAAATTTACTGTTTGCAAAATTATAAATTATTCTAAATAATAAGGATGTTCTTGTCCCAGGCAGAAAACCCTGGCCGTGTTAGGCGCAACTTTTTGGAAGTTTTGGTCCTCGGTGCTCTTCGGCTTTGTACTTGTTTTGGCTTTCAAGCTTTTTTCATCTGAGCGTCTCTGGATGGTCTTGTGTGGACGAGACGCACGTCTGGCGTATTGAATTTTAAGCCTAGTACCTTTTGTTAGCTATTATTCGTGTGTTTCTTTGTCCTATATGTTCTCCCATTTATTTGTATTGTGGTCCTGTCATGTGATGTTGTCGTTTTGGTGTTGTGTTTGACGTTGCCATTAAAGCGGGAGGTTTGGCATGCCACAAAACCAGGTTCAACCCACCATTTTTTTCTTAAAATGTCCTGTACCAAGTCAGGAAAATGGCCATTGTTATATTATAGTTCGTTTCTGTGTGTGTTACATTTTTAATGTTGTGTTTTTGTTGTGTCGTTGTTCTCCTCTTATATTTGATGCGTTTCCCTCAGTTTTAGTTTGTAACCCGGATATGGTTTTATCTCTATCGATTTATGAGTTTCGAACAGCGGTATACTATTGTTGCCTTTATTTAATTGACAATCGTTGGTTTGTACTTTCAAGTTCCACATGAATTGCATGTGACCTGCAGAAATGGTGTGTGAGAGTTGGATGACATAGCTGTACTCCATGTAATCCTTCAGAATTTTCAACAACTGATCAAGTGACACATATGTTTGGTTAAAAAATAACTTTTTCATTAAAAATGAATGGTATTCATCCATAGTATAAGTATATACTTCACTAGATAACATTTTTACTGTATGAGAGTACGAACACATGTTCCGCAAATAAGAAATATTTAAATTATTCCAACTTCGAATTCGATGAATTTAAATGTGGGTAATCATGTTTATGATGCCTCCTTCGAATCACCTGCACCTTGGCTTGTGTTATTGAACTATTGCAATGTTTAATTAATTTAAACGAATTATACATTAATATTAAAAAAACAAGATTTGATATTTCAGGAAATTATTGTAATATCCTATCCCAGTACCCCAACATAGATCATCAGGTGATTCGAACATGTATTTAGACCAATTAGTTTAAACTAATTGACATGGCCATGTCCCTCGTGAGGATCCTAAGCTAATAGTGACACTTATATACGGAAAATACTCTAAGATGTATTAGGGGCTGTTACTGATTGGCAATTTTCCAACCAAATTTTGTTGTAGACCAGATTGTATGATGAGACCTTGGAGTTGAAAATTATAGAAAGTTTTTTCTTGTAAATGTACAAATGAATGAGTTTCAGTTCCTTATATGTGGGTCTTTAGAGCACAGGCCAATTGGAGCAGTTTGTCGATCTGTGCGTCCGTTCGTCACACAAATATTATTGTCAAACCTTTCTCAGAAACATCTGAACTGAATGACCTCATAATTTGTCAGCAGTTTGACAGTTCCTGCATTGTAAAGTGTGAGTTCTTTCCGGATCTGTTAATACTCACTTCCTGTTTGTCGATAGGTTGAAATTTTCAATATTCAACTATATTTCTCCAAAACCACTTTTGGAGGTCCAGAACACCTACGTATTATTTTCCTGTACTTTCAATTATGATTTTGAGGATTCTTTTTATGCTTTGCATGACAACGCCTGCATTTTTGTATTTACCTGAATATGAATAAAGTTTTTGCCACTGGACGTTTAACATCCATCCATCTTACATTTAATGTGCATTTTACGAAATACAGTAATTTACGTTTTTACGTAAAGTATCTCTGCATTGAAAAGTCTGAATTTTGTGAGAGTATTGATGCACTCACATTATCTAGATTATAAAACTATGAGGAGGTCAAGCTCTATTTACTACCATGCTGTGAGGTATAAGTGTTGAAGCCTTAACAACAACTTCCAAAATAGTAAAAAAAAACAGCAATTAAAGCCTTATTTTCATAACATGGTTACCTTATATTTTAGTAACTTAATTTTTAATTGCCCAATTACATTCCTTCTTATATAATGTATATAACAATTACTTCACATAGTGTTTTACCTATATTAAAATATGGTAAGATTTTATTAGGTTTTTTATAACTTTTGTTACATAATTCGCGATTGTGCACAACCTGCAATAGCTGAATAATCAACATATTTTTTATAAACCCTGTTTTTGTTTGAAAGTTTTTTTCTTTAGGAGTGGTATATATATTTTTTAATCTGAGATTCTGGTAAATAAAAAAAGAACAAATTAACTATTTTAATTTCAATTTCACGTTTATCTGCAGATATGGGCACATGGGAGAAAGAGAATAATGCAATTGCGATATTTTTATACCCCTGCCTCTAAATAATAAGTAATAAAATAAGTGTTGACGTATGTTAATGAAGGTAAATGATCTGAATATACCATTTACAGGTAATGCTAATTATCCTAATTTTCTTTCCCAACTTCTTCAACCTTTTTTGTAATGCTAGAACACAACATCAGAACAACAATTCTAGAACCAAAACGGAAAGAAGTTGAATTCGTAAATCATTATTCTTTATTGATTACACGAAATTACGAGAGGGATGAGTACAAAACGCCTTTTTTTTGTATAAGACATCAATTAAAAATATATTTTGGTAATGTTCAGTGATAACGGCCAATAAAATGGACCTTGCAATATTAAAAGTAATTTATCTTCATGTATTAGGTACTAGTACTGTGAATACAGAATATCATTACCCTTGAGATTGAGGTATGTTTTCGTAGGTGTGTCGATACGTCTGTATATATAGTTGGTAGCTAGATTCCTCTTTGAATCCTATCGCTTTGAACGTAACAAATCGCTTTTGGTAAATATTTGTTTAATCGAAATTGACTGTTTGCTTATCGTGTTTAATTTTTCAATCATTATGATTTAGATAGCCTCAAAGGCTTTATGTATTTAGGAATTTCTGCAATTTCATCAAAACAATTAACGAAATTTTATGAAATCTGCCAGAGATTCCACATTGCGTATTCATTGATGCACTTTGAGACTTTTCCAAATAGAGGCGAGACAAAAGTAAAATTAATTATTAGGGGAGATAACTTGGAAATTTAAAAGATTCTTCAGTAGATGTAAGTTCCTAAACACGCACATTGTGATTTCAAATACTTTTTTTCAAATTTTTGTGAGTGGAAGCCATTTGAAGATTTGTATATAATACAACTGATGTTCGTTTTAATATACAGTCACTATGAACCTATCTGATGGAAGTCGTTGTCAGAATTGCAACAGTAATATATATCAGGGTCAAAGATTTTGTGACAATTGTGGACTCAGAATTAATCATAGACTTGCTATAGGAACATTATGCACAGGAAAAACAGATGGCATTCCTTGTTATAATGTACTTAACTCAAGAATCAAATTTTGCAGCAGTTGAGGTACAGAAAATGATTCATATTTACCAGGTAACATATGAAGTAACAAGTACGACCTTTTTTCCATAGCACTTCAAAAGCTTATTGTATAATTATAAAGGATATTGAGGCAAAATATAATAACTATATTCCACTTTAATTTTTCTACATTCAGATAACTCATTATCTCTATTGAAACTATTTGTAAAATTTTGGAATATTCTACTTGTGAGAATTTAATACCTTAAAACTATTGAATGCTTTGACGATCTAATTATCTTTTAAAAATTTAGTTCCTTCAAATAGAGAGAAAATATCGCGGGCTAATTCACAACTTACATAGCTATATTAAGAATAACAGACTTCATCATTGCCAAGAGAAAACAAATATTATAAGACAAACGACAGTCCTCAAAACACAAAAAGAAAACTTAACATCTGAAAACACTAATTCCACAAAAACCCGAAAGAAAACGCAGTTTCTACTGAAGGATAAGCAGTCTTTGCACAAAAAGTGGCACTTTTGTTTCTATTTGTTTGAAAATATCCGCTGATGAGTTCAATTAGAAATGTCACAACAGAGAAAACGAAAAACAGGATAGTGGTTACGGCAAGTGGGAGGATACCAATTATAGATATACCATTAAGGATGTTCGCTCCTCTGTTAAGCTTTTTTAAAGACTTTTATAAATCGATAGTATATCAATGATGGAGCTTTTAAAAAAAGGTCCGTGTCCTTCTTTTTGAGACATAATCAATTGAAAATTAGGTAGGAAATGGGTCTTTCTAGATTTTTCATACAATTAAAGATTTTATTAGATTTTCAAAAATGTCTTTTTAAACTGTATGTAATAAAATCATAAAAAGAAAGGTAGGGGTAAGCGATATTTTTTATTATTGGCACTACATGAATATAAAACTAGAAGATTATTATAAAAATATCTGGCAAAAAGTCAAAAAACAAGAGTAGCGAACATCCTTAAATATTAATTCCTGAACATTCCAGAAAGATGTAGAGACGTAAAATTATTTTAACCTTTATTAGTTGGCGTCATTGTCATATTTATTTGTATGTTTGTTTTATTGTTTTAAGTCAGTTGTGTTGTTTGACTTTGATGTATGTATGTTTACACAGTTTGGGATGATGGATGCCAATTATTATCACGTTACCCAACTATGTCTGAAAAAACTTTCATACAAGTTGGAGTTTTAAGTAGCTTTCAAGCCAGTACCTTAATAGCTGACTATGTGGTATGGGTTTTGTTCATTGTTGAAGGCCGTACGGTGACCTATAGTTGTTTACTTCTATGTCTTTGGGTCTCTGGTGGGGAGTTGTCTCATTGGCAATTATACCACATCTTATAATATTGAACCAACCATTATCTACGGAAACTGCCTGTGCCAAGTGAGGAACATTGACAGTTGGTTTCGTGCAGTTGGTTGATATTGTCCTACGTTTGGTTGTGTTTGGTTTTATTGATTTCAACCTTTATGAATTGACCTGTATTGAATTTGTTTATAAATATTTTTTGCCTGTAAATGCCACTAAACAATAATCAGTCGATGTACAAATATATATGCGCCGACTAACCCACAGAACACACCTTAAAGAAAAGAAACAATAAAAAAAAGCACTACATAAATACAGAAAGATTTAAAATAGCAAAATCTTTACGGACAGTGCTACCAGAGGAGTTTCAGTGATTCATAAAGCTTATAATCTTCACCATATTTTTTACCAGTTTTTCAATTTCTGTTTTCTTTCACACATTCTAAAAATTCCGTCAATTAAAACTTTTATTAGCTTTAAAGGATTATATATTTTCCAGATTCAACTACGGGGAAGAGCATCGATAGAGATAACAGTTTACTTAGTAAGCCAGCTTCGGACGACGAAGACAAATGGGAAGCACATGATATAGATTTAAATATTGCAGATGGTAATTTACATATCATAGAGCCAAATTATTCATCAGTGATCAAGAGTATATAGATTACAATGATAGGTTTAATAGCTTAATATGAGAGTAGTTAATTTTGATAGCAATTTGACCCGGGAATTTGAATTGACATGGAATATAATACTTAATGCTAATTTACTAAACTTAATTTGCAATTCCCACAGGTAATATTCATGCAGATCTATTTTCGTTCTCTGCTCTTCTCCGTGCTTTTAAGGATTTCTTTAAACTTATATCTTACTTTTGACCGTGATTGTTTCCGAACGGATTGGGAACTGCAATCATTATAATTTTTGAAACCAAACGCTGGTTCCTTTGGTATGGTATATCCAGTTGTTCGGGAATCCGTTCAAACAAGTTTATGATGGTTATTTTGATAATGAATAGACGGATTTGTTGGTAAACTTCTATAAGACAGTAACGAAACGCCGCATGAAACAAACCCAACGATACATTGTATCAAAATGTCATTTGTCAGTGTAATTTTTTGTAGGGTATACTAAAAATGAACCTCCTGACAATACAGACCTTCTGAGTTCAAGGATGTTCATTCTGTCTTTATCTCTGTTTGGCTTTGTATATGTCCGTTCTTACGTGGTTTTTATTGACATTTGTACTTTATTCATTACCACGAGTGTGATAGAGAATGCCACCAAAATTGAATAAAAGTAAAAAAATTTATTTAATGACGAGATTTTGAAGGGACTTTGAAAGAATTAGAAGGAAACATACAAGAATGAATATTCCTTTTACTTTAGCAAAACGATTAAGTACTATAGTATCAGAGAAAAATATACATGAACTATCCGTATAACCGAATTATTACAAGTACCTATAGACAGGAATTATCCAGTTACTTTAATAAACAATGGAATAGTGAGAGCAAAAGAAATTGATCTTCATGAGCTGCGAATAACTAGAACGACACAAACACATATGTATTACCAGTACCATATAACAATCCAAGAAACAATGAAACAAATAAAATTATTTATTTATTTACTAAGTTTAAAACGTAACTCAAGCATGAGAAATGCCTTAGAAGATAAAAATATCCAAATAAAAAAGATAAAAAAGGCATTTACACTTCTTATTCTTCGTTAAGGTATAGAACCCCTAATTCAGCCCCGTTCGGAAAGAACATATAAGAAAGTAGTACATATTTTAAACAAAATAGTTCCTATGCATAGCTGTATCTTTGTCAATAGGTGAAATATTTGGGTAGTTTTGGTATCAAATGAAAGCTAAAGGGGACGTGAGATAACTGTAGAACCCTTGTTGAAAGTTTCTTTCGAATAATAAGGAAGTATATAAAATTTCAATAGGAGGGCACATTTGCCCTGTTGTTCAGATCAGAAGTACCTGTTTTTGTACTATCAAACTTCCGGGAACCAGTACGCTCTAATATGCAACTAAAAGTATGTTGAATTTTACAGCACAAGTCAAGATGAGGTATAGTTTTGACATGAAATAACTGCCATTTAATTTGAACTTAAGACAAAGTAGCCATTTATGCTTGAAATTGTAGAATCTAACATAGAAAGCAATGAGGCTATGAATTAGTGGTTTTATACGTATTACTGAAAGGCATGTGAAATTCAATTTTTAGAAATTATACCCATTACAATGAAAATTGGTCACATTTGCTGTTAGTAATCATGTTACATTATATTTTTTTTTATGTTGGTGTCAAATTACAGCCCTCAAATTGCTACAATAAGGTATTTAGCCTTTTTTTGGTCATTTAAACATGCATACAGTTAAGATTTTACCTGAAGTTTACATGTTTGCATTATCTAAGACTGAAACCATTGAAACATGTATATTATGACTGGTTTAAAGTATAAATATTGCTTTTGGTCAAATTATCTAGTGAGTGTTCATGTTTCATTGGGCTTCATAGTGTATCATTTATTTCAAATGAAATTGGTATATATGAATTCTAAAATCTCACTTAAAATGCATTTTATAACCAGTTTAGTAAGTTGTCTAGCTGGGATATACATAAATTGCTCTTGTTGATCCATGTGTATACATAAAAGTATGGTTTTTACCCAATCACTCTCCTTTTTCAATATGTAGAAAAAAGGGGGAGGGGAAATAATCAATTATATTTTATGTTTGGACCATTGTTTTTATATTCATAGAAGAATCTCCGATGAAAAAAGACATATTGGTAGTAACATTTTTATTTGAGTAGATATTAAAGGGGCACTACCTGTCAAATTCATATTCACCGATTTGACTCAAATTCTTATATTTGATTTATAACCATGTAAAACATTTATCCAAATTATAAAAAGTCTAAAATAAACAATTTACAGGGCATGGGCTCGATAATATGTAGCTTCGTTTCGTATGTATTTTAGTCTTGACGCCATCTAATTAACCATCGAGTTGACCTCCGAAGACCTCCGATGGTCATATTAGCGATATAAACATAAATATAGATATAAATAGAAAGCGAACTCGTGCAATTGGATTTTTCTAGGTCTGTTTAATTTCATATTATAGATTAAAAATATATGTTAATCAACGTTTTAACCTGTATAAGAATGATTTTTTTGTGGATCGAATCAGTCAATCTGATGATTTACCTTTGTTTCACTTTCAATGTTGGCATTGTTTTCCTTTAAATAACCGAACACGCACAATTCATGCGTTATCCATCTCTAGCTAAGGATTTAAACTGGAGTTCACATGTATACGGATTCAATGAGGTCGAACTATTCACTTGCAAGTGCATAATTCATCATCAATGTTTCTTAGCTTAATTTGACAAAATTGAACCATACTGGCTGCTAAAAGCGAATTATTATTGCACTATTTCACTTTCATTATTGATTGAACAAAAAAATTCATACTTTGAATTTTTTATATATCTCGTAGCTAGTGCACCTTTAACAAATAAGAACTAGTAAACATTGAAAAAAGTGTCATATCTGTCATTAGTATCCATATGGAGTTTTCTTAGTATAACGCATATGACACTACCAGTCCAATTTGAGCTTGAATTCGGTGATATAGTGTTTCGACAAAAGCTTTATGTGTTTTGCTGTACTAGAAATAGATCATAAAGGGGAATTAAGTCAAGCAGAAGTCAATATAACACGTTTGGTGCTGTTAAAGATATAGAACCACTTATTCAGACCCAGTCGGAAAGAACGTACAAGAAAGTACAGTACACGCTGGGGCATAGTCTGAATAATGCTGAGCATTTTTTGATGGTCTGACATGCTCGGAATTTAGGTCCCTGATCAGACCACCTGATGTGATAGGGGAAAATGTGAAAAATCAATGGTAATACAATTGTCAGGTAATCAATCATTAAGTGTAATAAAGAACAACAGGGATTAAAACATAGAATTAAAGGTAAAATCTATTAAAATGAATTTAAAAAAATTGAAATATATATTAGTAATGAAAGTATTGGTAAACTTAATTATTATCATGTTTTTATTTTAGACTATTCTCTGGTTTTTTTTATATGTTATTATATAATAAAGGAGTGACTCTTATGTATCACATGTATAGTGAGACTCTTTAAATTTTACTGGACATTTGCTATAAAATTCATAGACTGGTTTTCAATTTATATAAAGAATTCAGTATTTATTTAAATACAATTTATGATAGGAAAAATGTCAAAGTTAATTGGTTTACTTTTGTTTGAACATGTTGACCATGAAAGAGGAAATCCTTCAAATAATATCTTTTTTATGAAAACAGTTCATTATAGGAAATTGTTCATTTAATATCGATTTTTAAAGAATAACTGTAAAAATTAATATCTATAGGCACCAAGAAGCAACTTTAAGAAGGTCTTCATAACAATATGATCATAATTATTTTTTTATAATAAATTATGTTTAGCAAGTTGTATAATGTAATATCATTCAAGAAAAATAAAAAAAATAATAATTTAGAACATACTTTTTTTGTTTTATCAAAGACAAATTATCTCATAACAAAGATGTGAGTTTTTGTCTTGTGACTTTCTGTTCTACGTGTGTTAAACAGTAGTGTATCATCTTAAATCAGTGAAGAAATAGCTGTAAATAAAATAATGAAAAAATGTATCTAGACTTGACTTCCAATCTTATCATTTTTAATGTGATTTATTTAATTTTCAAAAAAAAAAAGAAAAACAGGAATTGGTAATTTTACACACTGTACAACAGCCAACAGCATATTTGTTTGTATTTGAATTTATTTAATGTCTTTTGGCTATTGGTCCTATATTTTGTAACCATGACACATTTACCTGAAATATATTACAAAATAAATATAATTTAATTGATAATAATTTTGATCATTTATCAAATTTATCAATAAAGAAAGCGTTTACATATAATTGAGATCATATAGTTTTTGAACATGTACAATTTGTTATATCTATGATTATATAAAAGACATATGTTTTCATGTCCAGTTCTTTTCCTATCCAAAGTTCACATGTAAACAAAGGTTAACATGAACCTTTGCAGGTACAAAATATGAAACAAAATTGTCAACCTGTGGCAGTAAAAAATACACACCCGGATGACCACCTGTAAATTAGCCTAGCATGTATCAATATTTCACTTCCCATGGTTTATGACCCCAATATATGCCTGACATTCAAAAACACCAAAGGGCTATGAATTAGTGGTTTTATACCTTTAAGGTTAAGAAATCACTCACAATTCACAATACATCATTCTATCGGTTTACAAATGAAGTTTGTCCTTTCAAAACACTAAGGAAATAAACGCGAACTTGAAACCAATATTTAGCTTTAAAAGTTTAACATGTTTTTTTAAGATTCTACAAGCAAACATGACCTAACATCAAATACCCTTTTACACCAGGAAGAGGACGTCTATCAAGAAGACAGATGGGAACCACAGAATATTTCATATGGTAAATATACATTGTAATACTGTTGTTTAGGACAACTTCTCACTGATTGTAAAAAAAAACTTCGTTGAGTGGAAGCGAAATAGCTTCTTTTTGGCCCTTTTGATAATCAGGAATCATTTGCAAAATATAATGCTAAAAATGTAAATATAAACACTATGTCTAATTGCTGTTGACTTCCAAATCATCCTTTTCTTTTTAATTGATGCCAGGATCTTTGTACATGTTCATGTAGCACCTTCACACAATTTTCCACTCACATTTTAGAAAGTTAAGCGTCGGTGGGCTTTTAAAATGTCGTATATGCCTTTTTCACACAAACCGGCTTGGCGGGTGCAAATCTCTGATCTATCAAAATATTTGAAGTAAGACATGTGACAATATAGCCAGTCTCAATTGTATGTAAAGTTTGCTTCCAAAATGTTATATGAAACTTTAAAAATACCATATAATGGCTTTGGGAATCATTAACTTGTACATCTCTTTATATCTGATAAGAAGAGGATAGTTTTTGTGTTATCCAGAAAAGGTTTTATTTCGCAGCCATTTAGAAAAATGTTCACAGACGACATTTTGAAGGCAAACATTTAACCACATTTTCAAATCCTGTTTTTTGCGATTTTTTTTTTGCTTAAAAATTAGCAATTTACTACCTTTTGGAAGCCCAACGACGCAAGGATGTATAAGAACCGAAACAGTTGAAGATCTATTTGACCAAAGATGACATGAAAATAATATACATTTTGCTGCAACATATTAAGTTAAAAGTCAAAATAGTATAGATTGTTTCCAAATACAGAAACAAAGCTATCTCTGAACATTGTTATTGGAGTGGTGTGTCAGTAATTCAATAATGCTGCAACTTGTAGACTGTGACGACATCGACGACATCAAACGTGAATTACATAGAAAATGGGAAGCTAGTCATGAATACTGACATTATCAAACTGATTATTTACGATTGTGAATTGTCAGTGCATTATCAATTGTATAAATAGACTATGATTTTTATTGTATATATGTCCATTAAGATTTTACCTCATAAGCTTTAGCGATTCAATATTCAAAATCATTATCAATCAACGTCTGTCATAAAAGTGAGAGGTTAAGCTTGCTATATAACCAGCTTTAATCCACCATTTTCGAAATCAGAAAATGCCTGTACCAAGTCAGGAATATTACAGTTGTTATCCATTCGTTTGATGTGTTTGACCTTTTGATTTCGCCATTTTGATTAGGATTTATTTTTGTTATTTTACTTTTTGTTGCGAAATATTGAATATAGGATATACAACTCAAAAATACACAACATCTGAAAATAAAGTAGAGTAAAATCTGGATTTATTTTTAACGTTTGTGTTTTCAAAATTAATACAGTTATGTTGGTTAAATGTCAGACAGCTACACTGATTGAAAACTTTCATTGATTGATCGAATGATTGATTGATTGATTAATTTGTGTTAATCGCCACCTTCAGCGCTATTGACTATTTCGTGGCGGTCATTATCTATTGGTGGAGGAAACTAGAGTGCCCCAACAAAACCGACCACCTTCGGCAGAAAATGCAAACTTTGAGAGACGGGGTCAAAATTCAAATTCACAATTTTAATACTTTTTTGGCGGGTTGTCTAGTTAAAACTGATACAACACACACAATTGAAAAATGGTGAAACTAATGCAATGATGCCATATTTGATTACATATGAACCAAAAAGAAAACCAAAACATTTCCCTCGCAATAAAAAATGTAAACAAATCTGGAGGGACAATTTGTTTACCTCCTAAATTTGGATCATTAATATTGAGGTTTTTTTTCCTAATCAATTTAGCATCCATTTAAACAGGAATGCCATCAATTTCAGTTTATTTTGGACATTTTCCACAAAGATGTCAGTACTTATAATTTGAACCCCATTTATCTAAATGGACGTGTGGCAAAATTGTCTTCCACAAAGATGTCAGTACTTATAATTTGAACCCCATTTATCTAAATGGACGTGTGGCAAAATTGTCTTTCAGTAGTTTATAAATAATTTTATTAAAGATTTTCTATGGGTGGCGATTCATTTCTCAAATTCATCTACCTACATTCTACTTTCGGTATCATCTGATAGGTTACTTCACACTGATTCTAAAAATATATGGTTCCAGGTAATTTTAAATGAATCAGTGCAAGAAATGGCTACTTCCGGTTTACAAAAGATCACATCCGACTAACCTCTCCAAAATCATATGTCTACGAACCTAATGCAGAAGATCCATAGCTTTATCATGTAAAAATCTGAATTTATGGCAAAGGTCAAAATCTAGAACGTCAAATTTACTCTTGACCCTCTTCTGAAATTCAAGGTCGTAAAGCAAAGACCTCAAATCAACAGAACATAGGTCTCTTCTATATATGATTAATTAGTTATATCACGATACAGTTAATTTAAAATATGAGAGGGAAGAAAAATCTTATTAAATGTCAACGTACCCTTTTAACCAAAATGTATGTGTTGCGACTTGTCACAACTAATAATTTTGTACAATATTTTGTGGATATCTTGTACTGTTTCTGAGAAAAAGCCTAAATTTTACCAAAATCAAAATTAAGAACATGACTTTGACCTTTGACCTTGAACTCATTTACATTATTCTGGACCGAGGACCTCAAATAAAAAGTCCGTTGGTCCCTAGCACTTATAGTTTATGAGTTACTATTACATTTCACTAATATCAAATACAGAATTGGAAAAACTCTCATATGGAGTCTCCAGATCGCTTTGATAAAATGTTTTCCAACATCTTGATGATTAAACGAGCAATTTGGTCAAATAATTCTGTCAGTTTCTTCTACGGTTGCGAAGGAGTAGCAATCACAAGGAAAACAATGTTTTGGGGAGATAACTCTTACAAGGAAAAGTGTTCGGTTAATCAGTGTCAGTTTCTAAGCGTATTAACTGTTCGATATCAAATACCAAATATCTAAGCGACATCTTGTGAAACAACATCTTTTTGCAAAAAATTAAAGTAGCGGAAGAAAAAGAAAATTAAATTAAAAACCACTTGTTCAGAGAAATTTCTTAATAATTGATAAGAAGCTATCTGCGGTTTTCTCAAAGTTAATATGAGTGTCCAATCATAGATTTCTTCATTCTGATTTAAAATGTATGGTTTCTATATACTTTGTCTAAAATTAGAGATATTATTTGCTACTTCCAGTCTCATAGGGTAGCTCTAGTCAAACTGATTCCAAAAATATATGGTTTTAATATACTTTTGCTAGAAATAACGGAGATAAATTGCATTTTCCGGTTTGAAAAATTTCACCTCTGGTACCATCTGATAGATTACTATACATTGAATCCAAAAATATATGGTTCTAGGTTTTTTTTAATGAAATCAGTGCAGGAAATGGCTGCTTCCGGTTATATTTGAATGGTCTACTCAAGATCATATGTCTACCAACCTAATGCACCATACCCATTGGCTTTATCACTTATAAATATGAATTTACAGCAAAGGTCAAAATCTAGAAAGTCAAATTTACCTTTATCCTTGACCTTCATTTTAAGGTTTTACAAAATGTTTTATGCAAATACATCAAATAAAAAGGCCCTATGTCTCTTCTATATAAGGTTAATTAGTAATGTTACCATACAGTTAATTTTAGATTTAAGAGGGAAGAAAACTTAACATTAAAGTGTCAACATGCACTTTCAACCAAAATATGTATGTATTACGACATGTCGTAACTAATGATTTAATACAAATATATTTTCAATATCTTAAACGCTCTGTAAGGAGAAGCTAAAATAAGCAAAAAATCACAAATGCATATCACTTATTTCAAATACATAAGAGGAAATATCTCTCATATGGAATCTCCGGGTCGCTTTGGACAAGATATTTTTCGACATCCTTCACATCAAGGATGTAACGACCAATTTAGTCAAATATTTTGTCGGTTTCCTTTACGAAACCAAAGGAGTAGCAATAACAAGGAAAAATGTTTGGGGAGATAACTCTTACATGGAAAAGTGTTCGGTGTTAAAAGCGTATAAACTCTTCGATATCATATACCAAATATCTAAGCGACAACTTGCTTGACAAAATCTCCTCGGAAGCATTAGAAGTGTCGGAAGAAAAACAAAAATAGTCAGAACAAAATGAAAAGGTCTTTACTCGGAATAGTGGAAAGACTTTATTAAATTGTCAACTGTTCGTGAACAATGGAGAGATCTTTCCTTTTCGTAAGGTGAAATATATGTTGAAAAATATGTTAAATGCATTGAAAAGCATTACACACACATACAACCCTTAAAATATATTCAAAAACACAAATTTCGTGAACATCACCTTTTTACCTTATGATCTTTGTCAAGGTCATCGGTCCCCTTCATCCCTTCAAAAGACACCATGGGTCAAGAAACTTTGGTTTTGGAGTTAAAGTATATTTTGTCTGTTCAGAAACCGTTAACGGAGGCTATGCCCGTACAGATAGGTAAAATTTCATTATTCACTAACAGAAAAAGTCCCCTTAGAGCCCCGACAAAGTTTGTTCCACCATCTGATCATTTGATTTTGACTTAAAAAAGTACAAAATGAACGTTCTGACTTCGATATACTCATTCTTGATTATAAGATGAGTAAACATGACTGTCCACCGTGTCCAAGGACAAAATACGGCTTTTGAAACATACGTATATGGAGCTGCTGGAACTTAGCGTTCAAATGGCAATTCGGACATTTTTGGAATTTTTTCTCTCCAACGTAGTTTTCGGCAACTTAAGCACGTTTGAATAAATTATAAAATGAGATAATTAAAAGAAAATAACAAGAAAATAAGCCAAAATCAAAATTCAGAACTTTAATTTGACCTTTGACCTTTGATCTTTAACTCATTTTCTTTTTGATTGGCCTTGGACCTCATATGGAAAGACCATAGGTCTTTATCACCTATGGTTCACATATGCATATCACTTATTTCAATTACATAAGGGGAAATGTATTTGAATGCATATGTTTTTCTCACTATTGCACTATGCATTGAGTTCTAAAGTTACTAAAGAAATCCAGGATATTATCATTTATACTTGTAATTAGTAAATGTTCTATTACAAAAAAATTCCGTACTACTGAAAAGTAATAGTAATACTTTGAATGATATCATTATTATTTTCTGTGACAATATTTCTGCGGTTATCAATCGTTGTTTATAACCATACTTTTTTACTCAATAAGACCGTGAAATCACCTCTTAATCGATATAGTTGTGTAATAAATTTTTACCATTATTGTAGATATCAAGAAGACATATTCTATATAAGTACTCCTAATTGGTCTTTAACATGAAAAAAAACTTTCATTATTATTGTCGATGTAGAATATGTTTTAAGATTTGTTTTATAATCAGTTCATCTTTGTTTGTTTGTTTATATTATTGCTTGAATATTGAGTCACAATAATGTCGAAGAAAACAAACAACACCACGACTAGAAGAAAAACAATCCACGAAACACCAAAGTAAATAAAACGACATGACCACAATCGGCGATATACACAAGTGCCCCAGTAAGGTTAGAAAGTCCTCCAATTAAGGCACCAGTCGTGTTGCTCATGGTAAGTAAACATTAACATACAGGTTAATCAAAAGAAAGCGACCGATGGAATGTATCGGTAATCATCTATGTCAGAGATATTCTATGGTTGTCAACCAGATTATTGCATCGCCGCTGTAAATGTTTCGAATGGTTTACTATTTTCAAATTTACGATTAGGAACTCTTAATGAAATAGATTCCTTCTAAAAAGAACCCCTTAATCATAGAAATAATGACAATAAACGCAAGTCCTGATATATCGTATAAAGTAGATATATATATATATCTCATATGCGGATGGTGTTGAAATGTTCATTTCTAAATGTGTGGCTAAACTAGTTTAGCTCGAGCTTCGTCGGATAGAAATCGACATATCGACCTTACGCAAGTGTACGTATGCATGTACATGTATATGACTTTTATTGATTTTGGAACATTCAAATACGAAATAAAAGATGAATTTTTGGTCTGTTTTGTATGGTTCTAGTAACAACTCAACTTTTAAAAAGTAACAGACTTTCCGTAGAGATTTCTTCAATCCGAAAAAGTTAAACAGATGTATTGATATTCATTTGCATAAGGTCGATTTCTATCAGACGCAGCCCATATAATATTCACATGATTGTCTGCTTTTTAAGAAACCTTGCAGTGGTCGATCTATGATAAGTATGATTAGATTGGACTGTTTCAGTCCATTCGATCCTCATGAATCGATTGCAGATGTTTGGTGTCTATTTGAAAATTAAACAATCAGTTTTGGAGCCGTGCGTTATAGAGCTTTACATATTATGTAGTCTTGACCTTGACCTACCACATCTTCTTATTTCTATACTTGTCCGATTGTAGTTGAATCATGGTCTTACAATTTATTGAGATCACCATTCAGTGCTTATTGAAATTTTTGCATGTTTGTAACAGCATTTAGATGTGAACAATTGTTTATGTTAAAACTACAAATTTACCTTGTAGATGCAGAGTTGAACGTCATCATGTCAGAAAAAAACTTAATGAAGTAAAAACTAGGATTTTAAAATTTGCAGTAATCGGTCGTAGTGCCGTTGGCAAAACATCGTTTATCAACACGATGCTAGATTTACAACCGGGAAATAAATGCTACGCAGAAACTGGAGCAGGAGACAAAACTAAAAACATGTATGCATATGTACACCCAAAAAACGAAAATATAATCTTTTGGGACATGCCTGGATTTGGAACAATGGAAATGACAATTGAAAAGTTTTCGAGTGAGTTTAGTGTCGAGTTAAATACATTTGATTACTTTTTCATACTTATTGATACAATTATAATGGAAGGAGATGTGTGGCTAGTGAACAAAATAAAAGGCTACGGAACACCCTACTGTTTCATGAGAGCTAAACTTGATGAAGACATTAAGAAGGGAAGAACCAAAGAAGACATCAGACAAAAACTTGAAACTTCCATTCAGGAAATAATACAGTCAAAGGATCGGCTTTATTCCTTATATCAAATGAAAAATCATATTTCCATTCTGGAGATTTCCATCAATTGTTTTCACATATCACAAAACACCTTCCTTCAGCAAAGGCTGAGAGTCTTTCTTTTTTTCTCCCGATTTTGACACCTGAAGTGATTGAACAAAAATTTCAATCATTGCAGAAAAGAATGAAATACGTAGCTTTAAGTGCAGGCTTCATATCTGCTATACCAATTCCTTTACTTGATATCCCAGTTAATATACATATAATTGGTAGGGAGATCGAAGAGTATTACAGGGTATTTTTACTTGACAAGGATATGGTCCTAACTGTTTCAGGAGTTAAACATAGAGGATTTTCTAAGTATTCCATAACGCAAGATGCTATTACTTTTTTCAAAGTTGCCATTAATTTTGAAACCATCCGTAGAGTACTTCTGAGCCAGGAAGATATCATTGTTCCCGCTGTTGGGTCTGCTGTCGCCGGAGGAACTGTGCTTATACATGCAAGCACACTTCTACACCGAACACTGATCGAGATGAAAAAGGATGCAATTTCTGTGTATGAACATTATACTTTTGGCAAATGAATATATCAATGTTTATAAAAGCCTTCAAAACATTACAATTCCCTTCTTATAATTATTTGTTGTCCTTTTGATGGCAGTTGTCTAGTCTAAATTATCATAAGTTTCGGATAAAAATTGCATGGAACTGTATGGAAATTAAGTTAACAAGGAACCATGTAGCTATTTTAAAAGTAATTTAAAAATTTGACTATTCTATTTCATCGACTTAAAAATTAAACAAAATTATTTTCCCTATGAACAATGATGAAGATTGTGTAACTCTTTATATTCATTAAATACGTGTTAAATAAGGTTGGTGGTTCACTCTGGGTAATTTGACTCGCTCCAGCAATATATCGTCATTATATATCCATAGCGCTGAAAATCAAGTAAAACACCAATAATCAATCAATCTATGTATTAAGAGACATAATGGGAGTGTCAAATATGCATTCGTAATCTTCATAACCCTCCCTACATCGGGTTTTCTTTCCCGTCTCTTACTTTGTGGTCTTTCTTGTATAACAATTGATTAGAAATTATTAATAAGGAATGGTAAGTTGATGCAAAAAGCGATTTATATAAGATAAACGAAAAAGTTTTTTGGTAGTATTTTTAAGAATTAGCATATGGCTTAGCCCATTTTTAATATTGATTCTTAATGTGATACTTAAATGATAATTAAGTTCCTCAACAGAGTTCCACTTTTCCTTCAAACAAATAGATGTAAAGTTTATCAGCTGCCCATAATTTATATTATACGACATAAATCATTTTTACATGCAAAGAAGTTTTAAATTTACAAAAAAAAAAAAAAAAAAAACATTTCTGATTACTTTGCTGAAAACATATTTTTCCAGACAGATATTAAAAGAATATCCATCAAAACGGAGACTTACAGTTTAGAATATCCATTTGGTATCCTTCTTTAAAATGTCCAACACTTATAATAGTAATTTTTGGAATATTGTACATACAATTTGGAAGATAACTATTATTTGAATTAAATCTATTATAAATGAGCTTTGAGATTGCAAGTATACACCTTCTGCTAGCTACGTAGATTTGATGGTCATTTTATGATCGGCGCCTGTTATTGTTAAAATCGGTTAATAACTGCAAACTGTTTCAGTGAATGTCAATTAAAAAAGTACAATAGAAAATACCGAAATCCAAGATGAATTCAAAAAGGGGAATTTCCATAAGTCAAACGCTATCAATCAACGAAACGAGTGAAAAACAACTGTCATATTCCTAAATTGGTGAAGGCATTTTCAGAAGAAAATTGTGGGTTAAACTTGGCTTCATATCTAGACAAATCTCCTACTTGTATGACAGTTGTGTATATTCCGATTTTTGACACAATAAGGTGAGCAATCTCAATAGACATAAATATAATTTGTATCGATCAGCCAAAACTGTGTCAACGTACATCTTAGTCTTAGATACATGATTTTTTTTTATTAGTTGTTATTTGCTCTGAACTAGCTGTCAGTAACTGCAAGTATTCTCAGATCTGTACTTTGTGTCTTTTTTGTTGTGAGGGATGTATAGATACCCTGCCACGCCCGGTCTGTTTTTTAAGGTGTTTTTCTGCTTTGTATCGATATAATGAGTTAAGCCCTTTTTAACTGATTCATAGTTTGTTCTTATGTTGTGCTGTAACACCAGTGTCCCAGGTTAGGGGCAGGGTTGAGCGCTTACAAACATGTTTGACCCCAGCACATTCTTTATGTGCCTGTCCCAAGTTAGGAGCCTGTAGATCAGTAATTGTCTTTGGTTCATGTGTGTCATATTTGTTTTTTTGTAAATTGTTTTGCTTTGAATTAGGCCGTTAGTTTTCTTAATTGAATTGATTCATATTCCTCATGTCTGGGCATTTTATAGCCGACTATAAGGTAAGAGTTTTTCTCATTGTTGAAGGCCGTACTGTTTGCCTATAATTGCTTACATCCACTTCATTTGACATTTGGTGGATAGTTTTCTCATTGGCAATCATACCCCATCTCCTTATTTTTATATCACAGACATACAAAAGAACTGACTAAAATTTACAAACAGATATACAAATAAATTTGAAAACGCAATGTAAATTGCGTAAACTCTGACCGAATAGGAAAAAGGAATTTGAATGTAGAGCAAAAAGTTTTTGAAAAAAATACAGGTTTGGTATACTTCAATGCAAGAGCAACATAAACGATACAATTACATAACCAAAGGACGTTTAGTTGTGCTTGTATGGTTTGTTAAAATGTAATCATAATAAACATCGTGATAGGAATTAAAATAACTGAAGTTTTCTCCAAAAATATACAACGTTGTTCTTTTAGAGAAACTTGTAAAAGCAAACCAGGCTACAGGTATAACATGCAGATGCACTGAAACAGAAGTTGCATTATTGGAGATATGTCGATACGCATACATGCATGAAGGACTTTCTAGCGTGTTTTCACTTACAGACTGCTTTTTACGATTAATTGTTGCGCCAAAAATCCAAATCGAGTTTTATAAACCTTTATTTTGGAAGCTATCAGTAAATATTCCTTTTTTTATATTCTAAATACGTGAGCAGTCTATATAACAAAACCTTTAGAAACTCAGTATGTGTGCTAGTATGTCATATTTGGGGAAGACAATGAATCTCTTTTTCATGTGTTTAAATAATCATCAACAATGTCATAAAACAACTGAACACAATCAACTAAAACCGAAATTTATAATTATCAAAGACAATATTCTGACTAACAAACCACGCCGAAAAGGAGGCGGATTTTTTCAACATCTAGCTGCAAAATTTAATATTCGATACCCTGAATAAAAAATTACAGCGTTCTGCATTTGTTATGTCACACTCTAAACATTTCAGAATAAATAATAGTCAAAATTAGGACAACCAAACTGATCTAGTAAATTGCCGTTGAGCGTTGATCTTGAAATCGAAAGAATGAATAAACAAGATTTCTTGTAAGAATGTTCTATTTGTAATTGTAAGAAATTCAGATGCCTACATATATCAGACGAAGCCAGGTAAATTAAAAAAATGGCTGACAGTTGAAATTAAACAAAGAAAGGCAGAGGTGTCAAAATCCGTCAATAATCTGCGATAGATCGCGAAAGATCATAAAAGTATCCACAATCGGATCTGCAAAGTAAAATTGAGATACACTGACCATGATGATAATTAGAAAAGTCGATATTATTAATGCTATAAATTTCCCACCAGTCATGAAGCAGGAGCCGGGTAAAAGAGGAAATAAGGAACTAGAATTTGTCAATATTCAATAACTATACGGAATACAAAGGGATCTGTTAGTGAGAAACATGCCGAAAAAATAACTTTCTTTTGTTTGACGAACAAAATAATGGACTTTTTCAATACCATAGATATATAAAATTGTTTGTATTTCCAATGTTTCCACGAAAACTGTACTCTTCTTAACGGATGCTTTTTTTCTTGTTATGAGAGATTGTTATAATTATGATTATTTATCTTGGCCTAATTTGTTTTGTGTGGCCTTATAAGATGTTTACATAATTAGGTTGTGGCCTATTTAGAGTTGTTTACAAAATAATGATATTGTGCAGTTTAGAAATCACTGTAACTAGTTACTGATGGAATGATTAGAACATTTTGTATTTGACTTGCATAATAATTCCAGAATGATCATTATCCACGATGCGTAATTCAAACTTGTACTGTGTTCCAGAAGTTTCCGTGTTTCTGTGGTTACGTTTTTTATGGTGTTTGTTTTCAAGTGTGTTTACTGTTTTGTCTTACATTAAATTGCCTTATATTACAGTTATTTTATTTTTATTTTCTATATGTATGTAAAAGTTAAGATAATTAATCAGCTATTTCATTTATACGATTGTTAGTTTAAAGCAACTATATGCACAGGATTTTTTTGTTGATGCACATATTTGATTTAGAAGAAAAACCAACATGGTTAGAA